TACAAGGATACCTAACATGGATATATTTATATAAGTTATATAATCAATATTGGCTTTCTAGGAAATTAACCGGAACAGGTGAACAACGCTTTATAATATTCGATGTTTTAATGACTATGTGAAAAATGATTGACTCAAGCGTAGGTTACATAACTAAGTCTAAGCATATGGCACATGGTCTAAAACGATTACATAGGGTACCATTTAGGCCTTAGGGTTGCATTTACATGCTTATGAGATGTTTTTGCTCGAAAATATTTTTTATTCTTATCATATTTTTCTTCTACTGCAAACTTTTTGATTTGGGTAGCAGCAAACTTTTTGATTTGGGTAGCAATATGGACAGGGTACATTCAAGACAAAGTAATTCAACAATTGAGATAAAACAGCTGCATGAAGAAGACATTTCTCTTCATATTTTCGACCTTTCTTATAATACAATACTGCTTTTTGCGATTAAACGCGCATCGAAACGAATTTTTATCGTTGTTTATTAGCAGTTAACGTTACTTTGAACTCTACTCAACAACGTTGGGCTATTGTCAACGGAACGATTCACGGGTGATTATCAACGCAGATGCTGTATATTCTTACATTTATAAGATTCATTGCACACTTTCGCCAGTAGAGTGTTTACTGAATAAAATTAGCCAACAACTAAATGCGTATGTCTTGATTTGATAGCCAGTTCTAATGAGTTGACAGTTGAAATATTTTAAAAACTGTCACTCAAATCATCGCTGCATATTTAATCAGAACATACAGTTGAGTAAAGCAGAACGTATTCAACGTGACGTTGGGTATGGGTGAACGTCTCGTTGGCTGCTAGTAAAGTAAGCAAACAACGATAAATATTCGGCGCGTTTGATTGCAAAAATAGTAGTAACAGAGTAAACAATAGATACAGAGCTGGAACTACGTGGCGAATAGCAATTAAATATGGTGGGATTTTTTTGTACCCGTTTTTTAGTGCGCGTGAGCGTAAAGTGACCAGCTGCACATGTTCGGCAAGTGCCTGAAATGTTTAAAATGGCTTGGATTTCTTGCTCAAATATTTTCGATTAATTCAAGCTTTACAATATCGTCGTTTATATAGCGTTTTACGCACCTAAGACAAATTGCAGAATTGTTTATAGTTTAAATCTCAGGCACTTGCCAAGCATGCGCACTAAAAAGTGGGTACACTAGTTCCAGCTCTGTAGCTTTTAGTTACTCTGTAAAACAATTCACCATGTTTGTTTAGTAAACAAACTTACAAACTCTCTTACAATCTGAACATTGTTATGGTAGTACACAGATTATGACATTGTCTTGCTAGCTGGTTTTATAATCCCTTCCTATCAACAATTACAAACGTCCTGCCATTCTATTGATAAATGTTATAAAAAGCAAAGGTACTAATTGTTCACCTTTACTTACCTTTTCTTAACCTTAATTTCAATGTATCAGGTGAGCGTCTGAGGGCTTCCACAACTGTAATAGAAATGGATTTTTTTATTCAATATATTATACATAGACTGGAATACTGACACATTCATTATTCATCCAAAATAATTCTAGTTACTGCATTTTTATAACATATGGTATTCAGGTATATATATTGATTACCCAGTAAGCCATCTAAAACTGGCTTTGACTAGTGGTGGTGTGGTTGAGTCTGTAAAGTGGGGATATGGGAGAGGGTTCTTGTGTATTATACTTATAGTACACTTTGATATCCATATAAATCCATAGGGACATTCCCCAGAGAATGTCACACTTCCATTATTAGGAGAGGTAATCTATCCCACAATTAGAGTAAATATATATACCTTTCTTAGCAGGTAGCCTGCTAACCACTCTCATTGACTTCAACCATACATCCCCAACATGAATCTACAATCAACATGAATTTTCCCATAAGAATTGCAGGGTTTTATCTTAATCATAACACCATAAAAACCTGAGGTGATATTTATTGATACACTAGGGCCTGGTTTTTCAGCACACCATAATCCAAAATTCTATCAAATGGGTGAACACAAATCTGTACTTCCTGACATCAAAATTAGGATTATTTATAAAATTATTAAACATGCAACTTAATAATTCACAGGTAGAATTCATATCAATAAGGGTATGTTTATACATTACAATTGTTCACATATACACAATTTGTCTTCTGGTGTATGGAAACTACTAACAATGCAATGTTACTATTGATTTAGTGCAAGGTGAATTGAAATCCCAATTATTTTACGTGCTTATTATACACTTAATGTATGCTCTCGAGGGAAATAGTGAGTTTTGTTTTCCCAAGAGTCTGAATGTTTCCCGAGACAAAGTCGAGGGAAACATTGAGACTCGAGGGAAAACAAAACTCACTATTTCCCGAGGTAGTGTACATTAAGTGTTTTGTTATATAGGAACAAAAAATTAAAAAAGAAACCCACTTTACTTTGTTATGGCAAGAAGCGAGCAACAATTTTTCACTTGTTTCCCTGGCAGGAAACATTGCATTTATTTAAAGTCATGTGGCTACAAATGAACCAATCACATTTAAATACACAGAACCTATATAACAAAGTCAGTTATTCTGAGTGAAGAATCATATAAAACAAAAATCACAATGGGTAATTGTACCCAATATGAACAAGATTCCAGTAACTGGAAATCTATATCTGCAATACTTTATCACTGAAAATTATAACAATATGTAAGGCAAAGTGCATGGCGCTCTAAACAGGGACATACTTAGTAATAAAATCATTTAGGCAGGAATTCCCCTAACCTTATCTATCAAAAGATATTTCTAGAGTTTATTGAACATTTTTGCTATTCAATTTCTTATCTATTCATAACAATCAATCAAATATCACTTATTGCATTCCTAATAAAAAAAACATCTGGCAAGAGAAAGACAGCACTTGAATTTCATATTATAACCTATGAAGAAGCTAATGTACACTAGGGGTAAAAAAATTAAGTCCAAAAAGAAAAATCCAGGAATGTTGACTACAGGCAATAATTCGTTGTACAAATACAATCTCAAGCACCTGCTGATGGGAATGTTTTTCGACCAAAGCATGTAGTATTAATTACTAGAAATATTGTCATTCTGTCTAGAAAGAGTAAGTTGCTACAGTTTTATCTTCCATCTATTATTTATGTTACATTGATAAGCTTTAGCCCTGAATGGTTTAAAAGACAAGGACTTCGAATTGAGCACAGCCCTTTTGTCAGAATGTGCATTCAAATGAGCACAGTCCTTTGGTCTGAATGGTAATAAGTTGTAGAATATATTATAAAAGCAATTATGCGGTAGAAATTAAACCAATTAGATTGAGGTAAGTCAAACAAGCCATGAACATAATATCAGCATACAATATATTATTAATTAAAATTAGAGAAATTAAAGAGTTATTTATCAGTAAAAACTATCAGATCGAAAGTGTTGGAGTAGCTAAAATTGTACCCTTACTTACACTACACTAACGTACAATCCGTATGTACACAGTTTACTTGAGTTTATTGATATAAGCTTGGAAATAGCCAAATGTCTATATTGTCTTACGGTAGTCATGTATAAGACCGGATGATTTTATTGGAATCATAGGAAAAAGTTGACCTTAATAGGTCAACTCAATAAACTCATTAACACACACTTGTAAAACTTGGAAATAATGAAAAATTTCCTCAAAATATTAAATCAGTATGCTTTAATTGTTTGAAGAGCTTTCGATCGCGGTTCGCAGAAGTCCATATCACCGTGTCGATCGATATTTACTACACGTTCATATCAGCATTGTATTAGTCACGAAATACCATCGGAATGTCACATTCTTTCAAAGAAAGTAACATACTATATAATAAATTAGCTTTTAAAATATTCTGCGTTCTGTTATTTAAACCAAATTGACCTTAACAAAGTGGTCTTAAAGAATAAATTAGCCAAATTAGCTTTTAAATTATAATTCACGGGCAAATACAAACAAATTTAAGGCATGCTTCAAAATATTTACAAATTCCGACCAATTACAATTAAATCAAGCTAGTTAAAGCATTTAGTTTAAGCAAATTGAAAGAGATGAAAAATTGAGTAGGATTCAAATAATGCTGGTGTTGTTATGACTTTTACCACCTACGGGTAAAATATAATCACACTTGACCCAAATATTGTTAAAACTAGTCGGCAATTGTTTGGGAATCTCTGGCTTAGTGTGAATTTACAATATATTTTACACAATGTTTTATGAAAATCGACAAGGCATATTGTACAAATCTATAAAGTCGAATTTTTTCCATAAAACGGCTTAAAATAATAAAGAATTCTAGCTTAAATTTACATTGGCATATGTAATACACATCCAACATAAATACGGCCGTTACCGATGAAAGATATGTCAATGCCAATTACGGCATAAAAACATACCCAAAACCGAATGAATTTCATTTTGAACACAAGCAGATTGCTTCGGAAATTTAACATACGTACAGACGAAAGCGAAAGGCGCTTTTAGGGTGTGTCATACAGTCAAACACGGCCTACCTTGCCGCTCAGTTGAGCCGATCCGTTGTGAACTAGGGCACAGATCATCGGAGGTAGTTCAGTATCTACACCGCCGATAACACTGAAGCCAAAACTGCCCCCGACGTTACGTTCGATTTCGACGGTTTTTGAGTCCGACATCGTAGAGACATTGTGGTTACATTAAGCCATTGTTTTGAAGGATCTCAGAAAGATCTTTGAAGGTCAATTACAAGAAAATCCATCAAAACCTGCCCTGTAAAGATCATATGTTTTTCGACGCACAACATAAATATTCAAGCAGAAGCTGTGTATGTCTATATGGAAACGGGTTCGCAAAATTTCGGGTAAACATCGGCCGTCGACTATCGCACGAATTTGGCCGATAGCACTCGGTAATATACCCCACTGAGCTACATATGGGTACCCATCACTGGAGTTTAACTTTTGTTCACATAATGAACAAATGGATCAAAATGTATAATATATATATTATTTATTGTAAAACTATCTCTAATTCCTGATACTGAACTAGCCGTTTGACATCTTTATCATTTCTTATTATTGTGTTGGGCAGCTTTCTAATCTTTTTCAACTTTGTTAGGTCAACATTCAATTCGGCAGCACAGGTTTCTTTCAATGCTTCATACTTTACGCACTTTTGATCCAGTTCAATTTCAATAAAATCTCTCTCTTCAGAGTCAGCAATACGACACTTCAGGACTAATGCAGAATTGTTCACAGCTGTAGTGCACATTTTGTCCAAGGTCACCACTTCGACATTGTCAGCATCATTGCATGGTGACATGCTACCATTGAATGTGATTTGGTCTGAACTTGGCAAACCACAATCTTGTGTTGCAAGACCCATCTTCTGGATGCCAATTCTAGTAGCAAAATCTTTTGGACTTTCAGAATAAGGGAATGCAGGGTTTAAGAGATAATTTGGGACAAATTTAGTGATTTTCTCTTTTGGTGTGCAACTTTCCAAGTTTGAAAGCTCCACTGCATCTGACAATAATAAAAGTGAATGTTTAGGTTATACTCCTTTATGAAAAAAAACTGTTTTTCTTCTAAGTAAAAGCTAGATCATTAATGCCTAGAGGTAAATGAAATCTGCCAAAAAATGTTGTACCCAGGTAGAGGTAAAACTAAATCTCAATCAAAGCATGTACCAAAACAAAACCAGCTGTGAGATACAGTACTCACATGACTTTTTAAACAAGTTGGGGTGATGTACCCACTCTGTGAACAACATCTGCCAGTTATTAATACTTACTATAATTTGAACTGCAATTCTTTGTATCATTTCCTTCTTCACTTAACAAAAGAAATTTGATATCCTCACTTTGGGTTACATCAGCTGCAAGTTCATCTTTAAATGAGCGAATGCTTGGATTGGCACCATGCTGCAATAAATAGGTTACAACATCCTTATGGTTTCGCCTGGCAGCCCAGTGTAGTGGAGTCCATCCATTGACTGAATTTCGGGAGTTTACATCAACCTTCGCACGGACCAACACACCAACCTTCTCCACGTCCCCCAAGCAAGCCGTCTCTCGCAACAATTCCTCCAAATTTTTATAACTTTGCATTTTGGAACAGAATTTTTTAAAAAATGTTCTAGGCGATTTCAGAATGTGATATTTCAAAACTCAAGTCCCCAAATGAAGTCGATTATACGACGATTAATCAATCAAATAATTTTCAATTTTCTTTCAATCAATGAAGAGTACTCATAGTGCTCAACCTAGTGATGGCCGATGGGCGATAGTATCGGCACAGTGGTATCGGTAGTCGGTACAGTGGTATCGGTATTCATATCGATATTTATGATTTGGAGAAAATATCCATACTTACACCAAGTAGTAAAAAAATTTCAATACTGAGCCTACAGTATTTTAGGTGACGTTGTCTACCAAAAAGTTCAAAAAGCAAAAAGTATAGAAATTTTGAAATTTATCGGCCTTCTATGTTCAATTTTATTGCTGAACATGTTAACAATTATGCAAATTAATATTATTGATATTATTGAATAAATGCGCAGTATTGTGAAATAACAAATTTGGAAACCTCCCCCAACACCTCCGCGCGCTCAGTGCCGTTATCCGCGATATACCTGAAAGCCTGGAAACGGGGCTGTGCCCGAGGAATGATCAATGGAATTTAAGAATAAAATTTCCCTATTTTAAATGTCCAATCAGCGCTCAGAAAGTTTGTAGAAATAAAATCCGTCATATCTTTTGTCATTCTTATAGAACCAGTCGAAATTAAGTGATTGTGTTTTTAGTTCTATAAGAACTATAACTCTGATATAAATTTGAAACCGAAATAAAGTTGTTTCAACCGAGAAATTCTGAACTATACAAAATTCTTTTAAACATTTTAACTTATTGGAAACTCTTTTTATCTTCACGAAACATACCCCTTATACAATGACAAAAAACTTTTCTTTTTTATTCACCAACACTAAAAAAAATTTATACACTAATCTCTCATAATTTTACCAACTTTGCGAACCATTTCTCTGCAAGTGGAAATCCAGCCTTAATAAGGAAAAGAATACGTTTAATAATTCTTCATTTATATTCTTTAATTCCTCTTACAAAAAGGTCTTTTCACACGAATGTATTACAAAATTTATTCTCTTCTAAATTACAATGTCTTACAATGCTACAGTCCATATTAAAAAAATTATATAATCTTCATTTATTCCACTAAAATTTATACAATCGTCCTGTATCTTTTTGGTTTAAAATTGACCCTTTGCATAAAACATTTATAGTGACTAAGGAACAAATTGAATTTCCAAAACTTGTTTCCAAAAATGTTGGTCATTGCATGAACGTGACTGTATAGCAATATGCAAAAGGGGTCGTGATTCTAAATATATACCTTGTATAATTACATGTCATAGCTTCCTACTGTACTATAGTACATTGAAAATTATTATCTACTTCATTTAAAATAATTATCAGATACAACATAGAAATATATACTCTTCAGCTATGATTCGCTAAAAATCAGTTTTACAAATTATATTTCTCCACTAAAAGTCTTGATAGTATATTATTGTATATATTAAACATATATTATTAATATATATCTTATCTTATAAGCAATCACTTGCAAATTTGTACACCAACCATGATTTCTAAAAAAAACTAAATAAAAATGTCTGCAAATATATTCCCTTTTCTATTCTTTTGTTTTTCTCTATGTTTTATTTAAATTTGTTTTATTAAAAGTTCCATTCTTTTAGAGCTAGTTTCGGCTGTCTGCCAAACCTTAAAAAATGTCGTCAAGAAGCTCTTGAAATAAAAATATATATTTAAGCAAAGTCGTCCTTTAAACGTCGTTCAATATCGTTGAATTTCGGTAAAATTTTCCTTTTTGGTGTGATCATATATAAACGTTGTTTACATTTTTTACTTTAACCTAAAGAAGTCATCTTTTTGGGCGAAAATATTTACGATTCTTGTAACAAAAAAGGTGTGAATTTTTGCTTGATATTTGTATCAAGCACATCGATTATGTGAACTGTATCAATGCTCAATTATTCAATGCCTAATTTAGTGCTTAATTCTCACAGTTCACTGCAACCATGTCAGTGTTAATTGTACTGATATAAATCCTTCAAATGGATAAAAAATAAGCGGAATTCAAAATATTTTCGCAAGTATGTCTTTCGAAAGTCGTTTTCTACGTGTATATGTAACGTGAAAAATACGTTATTCTTTACATTTTTTCATATTTTCTTCTCGTACTGAAAATATGAAATCGTTATGAAAAAGACGACAACTTATTACACAAAAGTGATCTTTTTGAAAATCTATCGATTGAAAATTGTACTTGTAGAAAAATAAAGAGACATTCTCTTTTGACAAACCCAAACGGGAAATAAGAGTATCTTTACTTTAAAATGACTGATGTTTTGAAAATCAAAATGATCAAAATAACGTATTTCTCACATTTCATGATATATATATATAGTTGCCCTTAATGTATATCCCAGTTGATAGATAAAAAAATTATTACCAAAATGTTACCTATGCCTATGCTCAATTTTGGGCTCTACGACAATAGTACCCAAGTGCCTTGCATTTTTCACATAAATGCTGCGGGTGTTCCTTCGCCTGATCTGAGACATCAAGTCCGTCAGGTTTGTCCAGCGGTCTCTGCTTGTGCGGATACACGTTGATGTGACATTTCACACACATTTGTCCCATATTCGCCCAACTGTTTCCACTCATCCACTTACGTTTGCATGTGGGACATTTGTATTCACCAAAACACCGCTTCTTCCCCTGGTACGGTGTGAGTCCTTCCCCTTTTGGTCTCGCCTGTTTTAATGACATGATTAATTTCAATAAATCCTTATTAAAAATGTCTGAAGTTAGATACTTTTACTTGACTGCCAGTGTAGTTCTAAACTAAAGCTTTTCAAGCAGTTTAGAAACACAAAGTGCATGTGCAGTTGCCCATTGAATATAACTTTAAAATATGTTTATTTCTTAGTTGTAGATGCCACTCATGCTAGAAATAATGCCATGAGAAATTATTCAGCATCAAGAGTCATATCATCTAGTTTTAAAATGTCTAAAGGTATTTTAACTTTAATCACACGCCTTGAAGAGCGTGCCAGCAAAGAGCTATTTACCTGAGGACAATCTTTGATATAATGTCCCTTACAAAAACACAAATGACATAGGTAACCGTCAGGTGGTCGTCTCGCCTTCTTCGTCGCGTCTGGTGACACCGGGAGGTCATCAAAAAATCCTGGAGGATATGGTTCAAATGATTTCCAAGGATCCTCTTCTGATTTTGCCGGAGAAGTTTGAAAATCAGAGAGTTGTTGCAGCAAGTCGGCTGCGAATACATCAAAGATATCTTTACTGGAATATCTGTCGTACAGCTCCTGGAAATTGAAGAAAATACCATCAATCTGTGTCGAATCTCCTTTCTAGCTTCATGTTACCCAAGCGTTAAGCTTTGAAATTGCTGAAGTTGCAAAAAGTATGCAAAAAAATATAAAAGCCATCAATCTCGCAACAAAAATGTGTATAACAAATTTTAGCAAAATTGTAAACAATTTTTATTCTCAAGTTGCTCTAGAGATACCAATCACGACTTGGTAACAAGGATTTTAATTTAGTCAGGGGCAAAGAAAACATTTTAGGCTGTAAACAACCCAATAAGCACTCGTCATGGGAGTTTATATTAACTCAGATCATAAACAACTACAGTCAAATCCATCCCACCCGCGGACATATCCAAAAACAGAAAGAAGCTGCTAGGCAAATAAATAAGTCAATTATACAGTAGGCTGCTTTGTAAATCCTACTTCTTGTGATTTACTTAATTTTTAGCATCGTTCATCGAGTGCGTTTTTTTTTTAATTTTACTCCCGTTTTGACAGGTAATTTTCAGGATCTGATCGATGTCCTTCAGTGGTTTCCAAAAATTGACGCAGTAAAAAGTCATGCACATTAATTACAGGGTATATATATGGCTGTTGACAAATAGTTCGAATGAGCTTCTTACATAAACATAAACACTTAAAACTGCTGTGCCTATATGGGCATGAATGATGAGAAGGATGGAATGGTAGAAAGACCTCATGACTTCGAAAGATACGACATTTTGAAGAACCGAACCTGCATCTCTGCCGGCTAGACCAGTATAGCTAGGAAGTTTAGATATGGAACGGCTAAATTAATGGTTGGAGATTGCTTCACATTATCGACATGCTGTCCAATCATGAACATTTAGTACAGTTATAAAGAAGTTTGAAGACAAGGTTTTATGGGTGATAATTGCTTTGTTCTACATAACTGGAGAGAATGGGAAAAGTGCTCCGAGAGTTGAGAAAGAAGTTGCGTGGTTAATTAAAGAGAACAGCTGCTAAACTGGACCACTGAACTTTGTATATCAGTGGTCTACAACTTCAAATCCAGTCCGGGACATCTGCAAAATCTTTCGCAGTCATTCGTGTTCAGATCTTAAATATTTTTAGCTTTTTACCATTCAATAAACTACCGCTTCCAACGAGTAAATAACCTTAGCTCAACATTCATGACGCATAGTATTTAATACATAACGCAAAATGGCTGCTTAGGATAACCATTTCCGACTTCTGACACAGGCTAATGGTATGCGTATAAAATTATTCGTGATGGCAATGTTCGTGAATGAAAACTATGGAAAGGATGCAAGCATTATCGCAATGAAGGGTATTCGTCTCGCTCACCACCCCCTCTGGCACTGTGAGTGTCAATGCTTGTTTGTCATGATCCAAAAATAAACCGTCCCAGTACCGGTGCACCGCATAAAGGCTTGGGTACAAAACGGCCATTCTCGATTTATCGGCTCAGAGGTTTAAAATTTTTTTGTCATTTTATGTCAATCGGTTTCATGGTGGGTGATATTCAATGCGAGCTTAACAACTTAGACCAACTTAGACCGCTCTAAAATTAGTATATACCACACGAAGTTTAAAGATTAAGTATAAATACATGTATACTAACAATATTAGTTTGTTTTAGTAGCTTGAGGGTGACCGACCTTGACCGGGACACGCAGTCTAACATTATTATAGCATATTTATAGTCTATAATGTGATTTAATTGCGGTCACTTGAGGGACCGTCTGGCAGTGATGACAGATTTCGATTGTTTTGAATTGACAAAAGTCAATTACGTTCGTCAACAAAATAGGCCAATGACGTTCAGTCTGAACTTAAACAAGGTCACGAAAATTTTGAAATTCTCGCTTTGAATGACCTTGAAACTCGAGA